ACTAAAGGAATACTTGCCGTACTAAAGCATCAATTACAGAATATTACGCCGCGTATAGACTAGAAAATCCTACTCCAATACGGCACCATCCGGGGCTATATTCAAGTAGGTTTTCTGCAGGAATAACGCGTAAAAACCTTAGTTTAGTAGGTCACTGCCTGGGGGACGTACTAAAGTAGCTTTTCTATTTACCCGTCCTGGATTAAATATCCAAAATGTTCTAGTCCAAAAATTGTCTTAAATAAAATAAACCCAAACCAAGGGAATTAATGTTGACTCAAAAGCGTAGGTTAAAAAAGGAAGGTCGTAAGTTGTAAGAGGGAGGTGGGGTAAGGAGTTAACTCGAGTCATTAAAGGAGGAGGCAAGGATAAGTGATAGTTAATAGAACCGATTCCTGGTATCTTAGAGGAGGAACTATCTATTAACATAACAAATTAAAAGACTACCAGGAACCAGTTCTATGAAATATTGGGGTGAGAGCAATGATGAGAAAAGATGGTGATGTGGAGAGAAAGAAAAAGTGGTGTGTTATGTTGTATGTGAGCGCAAAGGAGGGTAGGAGAATAGCAAAAGAATGCCTAATGTTAGCACATCAATCGGACAGTCGGTAAAAGAGCTCAGAAAAGATAAGAGGGGTAAAATAAAGTGATAAGAAGGATTGAGAAGGGACAGAAGAAAGTAACAAGATAAAAAAAGGGATAAAAATGAAAGATGAGGAGTAGAGATAATGGAGGAGAAAAGGGAAAAAATAAGGAAAAGTTGGAGCGCCTTAAATGCCAATATGGAGAAAGAAATGCATCCTCCTTTAAAAAATCCAAAACGCCATGACATGTGGTTTTGAAGAAGTACCCTACAAGTACTTGGAGATAAGCGCAAAAATTCTAAAAATTATGTTGTTATTAGCGGATGTGTGAAATGAAAATAAGAAAACTTACTTTGAAAATTTCCGCCGTAAAAAAAGAAAAATTAATGGTTTCAGTTTTTTACAGATGAAATTTGCCAAGTAACTTTTTATTTTCATTTCATACATCCGCTAATATAATTATTTTTAGATTTTTTGCACTCACCACCACCTACCTGTAAGGTACTTCTACAAAATCACATGTGGCGTTTTGCATTTGTTTAAAGGAGGATGCACTTCTTCCTCCATATTGGCGTTTAAGGAGCTTCAACTTTTTCTTCTTTTTTCCTTTTTCTCCTCCTTTATTTCTACTCCCCTTTTGATCTTCTAATCTTTCCTCGTTATCCCTTTTCTTTTATCTTGTTACTTGCTCTCATCTTTTATCCCTTCGCAATTCTTCTTATCTCCCTATTTCACCCCTTATTGTTCTTTCCTAGCTCTTTCAACAACTTTCAGATTGATCACACTTATTGTACTTTGGTGCCAACATTAGACACCTTTTTGTTATGTTTCTTCCCTCTTCTGCGCTCACATCCTTAATACACCATTTTCCTTCTTTCTTTCCACATCACTTTTTTTTCTCCACACTCCTTCCACTCCTATAGCTGATAGAACTGATTCCTGGTAGTCTTCTAATTGGTTATTTTATCAGATAGTTTCTCCGCTAGGATACCAGGAATCGGTTCTATTGACTATCACTTATCCTTCTCGCCACCTTCAATAACTCGAGTTAACTTCTTACCCCACCTTCCCCCTACATTTTTAACCAGCGCTTCTGATTCAACATTAATTCCTTTGGTTTGGGTTTATTATTCTTAAGGATTTTTTTTATTTACCACACTATTAGAAAATTTCTGTACTAGAACATCTCTTATATAAGAATTTTCTTGGTAAGTTTATAAACCACTAGTTTTTTATAATTGTAATTTTCTATCTTGCTCTGTTACATATATTTTTAGGCTTAATGATGGTCCATAGAGGTCGAAACTAGTCGCGCTTGAGAAGAATAAAATTCTGTGGTAAATGACTGAGTTTTCTTTCCTTATAAAGGATTGCCAGATCAGTGAAAATTAATAATTTACTCTACTCATTTAGTTTTTTATATTATATGGAATTAATTTTGTTTATCATTGTCTTACTAAATGATTATTTTCACAGCAAAAATTTTGTGGAATACAATTATTTATGACCAGTTTTAAAAAACAACTAGGTGAACAAACAAGTAATTTGACAATAATTAAAGTAATATTAAGTACACTACCGCATTCTCCTCATATAATATAGTATTTACACACAATATTACAATTTGAATAAGGCAAATGTTTGAAAAGTTATATTTAGAAACAGTTAATGATGTGTACAAAGAAAAAACTTTTAAATATTCAGGTGCTACCTGAAGTTTTAAAAGCGGGTAATAACAACAATTTCATGGACAAATAATGAGTTGTATTTTTTTTATGTCCTATATAGGTAAAAGTGATATTAATATTGAATTTAAGTGGACACAATCTATTTTTAAGTGCCGTATAGAATTTTGCAGCATAACAATTAACATTTTTTTTCAGACATACTTTGAAGCTAGGAAATATAAAGTGTGTTATTAAATATTTCAGAAACGTTCATACAGAGTTGAATAATTAAGAATAATTTCCATATAATTATGCAGTCTTTTGTATCGTTGTAGCTTTTAATCAATAAAAATGTTATCTGATGTAACCAAATTTATGATTAATTATACCAATTATAGGTTTATAACTAGGTTTCTTAATATTTTACGATCATATCAAGTCTAGTAATAAACATTTAGCCGAACAAGTAATGAAAGATGAAGCAAATTCTAACTAATTAAAGAAGGTATATACAGAGTGGACCGGATTTAATTTGCGTATACAGAGATCTCGTAAACCGTAAGATATATATTGTCGTTTAAATGGGGAAAAAAGTTTCATATTTTGACGAATAATACAATGGTCCATAGAAGTTACAGATTTTCTAACTGGTTCTGGAGATATTCGATAAAATCTGAAAAACCTCATTTTTGTTTTTTTTTAAGTCGTGCGTTATTATTATAAAAGATACAAAAAAAAATTATACGAATGCTTAAAATGTGAAATTTTAAATATTATTTAAAACAAACATAATACAAGAATTATTTAATTACAAACTGGGTTACAATTTTTTATCAAACATGATTAAGTACAACCAGCAAACAAGACTAATGAAGAACGAATTATGGTTGTTCACATTCTACAAATAATAAAGCTAATAACAAAAACATAAAATGAAAAACAAAACGGTCAAGCAATCTATAAATTCCTATCACCTGATTTTCTGTAAAATCTTTCGCTTAGGTTTCTCTCAAAAAATTCATGTTTGCCATGCATGTCAGTTGTAACTTGTCACTAATATTTCTGTTATAATCAGGAGTGCGTTTAGAAACCTCGCACGGCGCGTCTGGCCACATACATTAGAATAGGGTCCGACGCGCCGTGCGAGGTTTCTAAACGCACTCCTGTAACATCTAATATTACAGTACTTTTTTAGCTTTAAATAATTTAAAATTAAATAAATATTATGGTTCGTTATACTGAAGAAGAGAAGAAAGATATGTATGATGTGTACATAAGATGCCTTATTTAGATTTATATCCTGATAGACAACAGCCATCTAAGAGGATGTTTTCTTATATTTCAAAAAATATGGCAGAGCATAGCAGTGTGAAAAAAAGGAGAACTAGATATCAGGTTCGACATACTGATAATGAAATTAATGTTCTTGCCCAAATACATATTAACCCTGAAGATTCTACTAGGCGAATAGCTAAAGAATGTGTAGTAGGAACTTCCACGGTTAAAAGAATTTTAAACATAAATACCACGGGTATAAATTTTAAAAAGTCGAGAAATTACACGCTAGAGACTCTGATAGAAGACTGATGTTTTGTCGTTGGTATAGTATAAAACTGCGCAATGACCGCTCTTTCAACAAAAAGATATTATGGACGGATGAATCCTCCTTTACTAATAGTGGAATATTTAATCCCAGGAACAAGCATTTGTATGCTACTTCTAATCCTCATTTAATCAGAGAAGTTAGACCACAGTTCCGTTTCATCCAAAATGTGTGGTGTGGACTAATCAGATTATTGGGCCGATTTTTTTGGATGGTAATTTAAATCAGTTCCGATATCTACATTTATTGGAGGCAGTAGTCGATGAGATGCCCTTACAAACAAGACAAAATCTTCAATACTTTAGACGGTCGTGGTGCATACAATGCTAGGAGGGTTGCAGAGTATCTCGATCAATATTTTAGAGGTAATTGGATTGGTACCAATGGACCAATAAGATGGCCTCCTCGATCTCCGTGTCTTAACCCCATGAATTATTTTGTATGGGGCTTCGTAAAGAACCAAATCTACGACAAAAATATACCAAATAATCTACAAGAACTTCGTCAACGAATAGTAGATGCATTTGAAAAAATTACACCAGAAATGGTTGATAAAACTACATCTCAAATGTCTAGGAGAATTTCACTCTGTATCCAACAGAATCGACTACATTTTGAGCAACTATTGTGACTGTTTTTGTTTTTGAATTTTGTTTTTGTTATTAGCTTTATTATTTGTAGGATGTGTACAACCATAATTCGTTCTTCATTGGTCTTGTTTGCTGGTTGTACTTAATCATGTTTGATAAAACATTGTAACCCATTTTGTAATTAAATAATTCTTGTATTATGTTTCAAATAATATTTAAAATTTCACATTTTAAGCATTTTTTGTTTTTTAATTATTATTTAATTAGCTATCTTGTTTTAATCAAGTAAGAAACGGTATCATAGCTAAATAGCTGATGATATTTTCATAGACAAAACGTAGTAAAATGGTAAGGTGTAACATATAGTTGTATTTAGCTATACAAAAGCTATAAAAAATTACAGTTAAAAATCCAGGTCCGTATTTAAAAAAATAAGTTGAAGGTGGCCCTGCAAATACGAAACGTCGTAATAAAAATTTTGACATGGAAGATTATAGGGAACTTGATTTATAACAAAAACATCGTATCATTTTTTTTGTATCTTTTATAATAACAACGCATGACTTAAAAAACGAAAATGAGGTTTTTCGGATTTTATCAAATATCTCCGGAACCAGTCAGAAAATCTGGAACTTCTATGGACCATTGTATTATCCGTCAAAATACGAAACTTTTTCCCCATTTAACCGGTTTACGAGATCTCTATATACGCAAATTAAATCCGGTCCACCCTGTATAAATAACTTTACTCTAAAAGAACTAAATCGACATTATGCAATTTTTGATCTATTTTAATAATCCAACTCTGTATCAACATTTCCGAATCGAATATCCAATCTCAGTCTCTTTAAACTTCTATTGCGCGCTTATTGCTAGATCGCAGCAGTCTTAAGAAGTGTGATCCCATTTAAGTCCGATGTCCAGTAGACCGGCTTCGATGTGCCTCGCTATAGAAGCGTCTTCGGGGACCTTCCGGTGTTTATATCCTGTGAGAAAATGACACGTCCCCGGTATGTGAGCGGGAAAGTCTTTGGGGAGACAGTCACGATCGCGCTCTTCGGTAATGAAGCCGCCAGCACGAGTTAGTCGACTAAAAAGAAAAAGGAATATACATTTCAGAACTTATCTGTAGAAATGAGAAAGTTTCAATGTTATTTTAGGAAGTATGCGAGATATATATAAATTTATAACGTTCTCACTCAATTTTGAATATGGAATAAAACAATAGGAACAATAACATTATTTTTTTTTTTTAAGAATAAACTTTTCATGAAATAATCATAAAACCAAAATTTCCATATTCCCCCTTGGCATTTTGTGTTATAATTTTGTTTAAACTTCAGAACATAGTACTAAATTCTAATATATTTCACAAAAATGCATATTATTTATTCTGCAAATACATTCCTTAAAATAGTACAAATTAAATATATTGCTCTCTTGACGCGTGCTAAATATCTCATATCCAGACAACATATTTCTTTATATAGTATATTGCACCATTTTTTCTCGCCCCTACTTGATAAAGCTTAAATAAATTAACAAAATTTCATTCCAGTTGATTGTAGAATACTATCTGGTCACGCCCTGGCACAAGAATTAACAAGAGCAAATTGCCAAACGAAGCACTCCAGTTTTAACCGTCGACCGGTAAAGATGCCTTGATAACACATGTCGTTTCGTTCTCTTTCGAGCTTACAACAAGTGACTGTTTCCGGGGTCGACATTTTACACAAATTCGTTATCACCAACAAAGCATGAGAGCTAATTTTCTTTCCACAAGCACAAAAGTGTTGTCGTATACATATGCAGATATATTGCTTCTCATCGTTTTCTTATTTTTTGTTTATGGCCTAGGTGTATATACCTAATATGCCAGTCTCAAGTTTGTGCTTTAAATTCTCATTCATGTGTGTTCGGTGTAGGCTTTGTTACTGTTTCCCAGCGCCACTTCAGGAACAGCACTGTTAATTAAAACCCAACAGTGAATGGTCGAGTGGGGAATCCTACCAAGGCATCAGAATTAATTTTAAATAATTAAATTAAATAAAAAGTGTACCGTTATCCAAGCTTTGATTTATGGACAAGGGGGTCCTTTTGGGGTTGACATACATGATATTAACAACATAATTAATTTGACAGTTAACAAAATTTGTTTGTTTTGAAATTGATTTTTCACGAAAACCCCAATTCTTAGTAGATAATGTTTCAAACATTGTATATAGTTAACAAAATTTTCTACAATTTACTTCATTGGTGATATTAATAATAAATGTATTGCCAAACTATATTAAAAGCGAAAAAGGAATGCAGTATGAGAAGTGATAATACTTTACAATCCAAAGGCGTAAATGGCGTATATATTTTAGGAAATAACTATATGGTCAATTTTATTTATTATTATATTTATACTTCTGTATCTGTATCTGTAACGTGTGGAGGGTGGGTTACCCCCACGGCACTTAGGCCTCATTAGGCCCATTGTGCATCCTCCTAAGATGATAGGCACCTCCTAGCTCGTGAGCCAGTCTACAGATTTAATGTAGTTGACAACGTCGCCAAGAGGTGCTTCTCTTATATCGCCAAACACAAATCTTCTAATAAATGAGATCGTCGAGCAATCGTAAAGGATATGCTTGATAGTTTCATCTTCTTGTTCGCACCCTCTGCAGAGTGCGGATTCTGACAGCCCCATGATATGGAGATGCTTCCGTACTTGGCAATGACCAGTAAGAATGCCTGTGATCAGGCGCAGATTCTATCTAGTCATAGTCAAGTATTTGTTTGCTGTAGTGTTGTCAGGATAACTTAAGAGCTCCCTGGCAACTCTGCAGTTTCTTGTTTCATCCCATCTTTCCTTGAATTTCACAAGGGAATGTTCTTTAATTAGGCCAAAGCTTCGTGACATTCTAGTACTAACCCTGAATAAATTCGTGGTCTGTTCAGGGTAAGTAGTGCTTGTCTGCTATCTGTATAGATGAGAATATTCCTTCCAGTGATACTGTTTCTGGTTATTTCTTTTGCTGCTATGAGAATCCCTGTTAGCTCTGTTTAAACTACACTGGCACTATTATAACTTTATATGGCTTATGGAAGATATATCTCGGTGAGATGGAGTCCATGTTTGCTTGAAGCAGTGGAAGCGTATCGAGCGCTTCCTGCCAAAAGTGACGTCTCGCCTCACCAGATTCTACATCAGGTTCCATTCCAACCGTGCGGAGGAGTGTCATGGTCGTCAGAGCAACCTCCTTGATGTAAATATCAAGGGGAGTGAGACTAAGAATGACTTCTATCGCTCTTATCGGTGTTGTTTTCATGGCTCCTGTTATGTTGAGACATGCTGTTTTTTGAATTTGTTCTAGTTCAGGGATAGCTGTTAATTTTTGAGTTTGCGGTACCCAGACAACTGCATCGTATGTTAGCATAGGTCTAATGATAGCCATGTAAGTCCATGCGACCCCAGGTGCGTCCCACGGTTCGGCGGCATTGTTGTAACGAAGTTACTTTTTTTTTTATTTATTTAAGAAATATAGGATCCGTCGGAAAACCGAATTATTATTTTAATTTTATTTTTCGTATTCATCATTTAGCTTTAACGTTAAAAATTCGAGTTTTCAAACGTTTACTATATATTGAATCTTCCCATCAAAATTTTTTATAAGTCAGCGGACGATCGCCTGCATTTCCCCACCTCAATCTTCGATTAATAATCGAGTTTGCACGACGAGTGGCGAAAATCACCGGTAAAACAAGCTGCACCGGCCAGATCTCATGATCTTTCCGCCGACGCTTGAGTTAGTAAGCAGCAATTCTTAGCAGTACCAGCCGCCTCCGATTAAACAAACAAATCCCGTTCACCGAGTACAGGTAAAAAAAAAACTTATTTCTTATCGCGTTGTTTTTGGAAATAAATAGAGACACATTCCGATTTATACCTGCTTTATTTTCTATTGAATTTGAAATACCGAACTAATTAATATTAAAGCATTTTGCTCTGTTAGAGATCTTTAAACTTTTAGAAATATTTATTTTCATTTCTCGACTGAATTATTTTTTTTATGATTTTGGATACGATTAAATTATTTAATAAGATAAATAGATTTAACGATTTAATTGCTGCCAGGTCTAGGTTACCTTTTTTTTAAGTAGTTGATTATTTTATTTAAATTTTCTTTCCTTTAAATTAAATACAGGGTGATACTCGTAATTGATTTAATGATTAAAAATAATGTCTGAAAACTAACTAGTGTTTTGTATGCGTGATTGTGTCGCTACACTACTAGTGATTAGACATTATCCGTGGATTTTATTTTTTTTATTTATTTTATTAAACAGGGGTCACGACCGAAAACACATTTTTTTTTTTTTGATTTCCGTATAGAAAAGTAAATACTATCTGATACCTAGCTAGTGTTTTGTATGCGTGATTGTGTCGCTACACTGCTAGTGATTAGGTATTATCCGTGATAAAATTTAGTTTAATTTTCCTTTAATTAGTTTTTTGATTAAAGTTTAAAAGAAAAGAAAATATTGTCTGAAAACTAACTAGTGTTTTGTATGCGTGATTGTGTCGCTACACTACTAGTGATTAGACATTATCCGTGGATTTTTTTTTTATTTTTTTTTAAAGGGGGTCACGACCGAAAACACGTTTATTTGAGTTCCGTACAAAAAAAAAATAGTATCTGATGTCTAGCTAGTTTTGTATGCGTGATTGTGTCGTCACACTGCTGGAAATTAGATATTATCCGTGGTTACATTTTGTCTTTTACTTTGATTTAATTCCAAAAGGGTGGGATATTAGATGGGAAGCTAAACTAGTTACCTGGTACCGATTAATTTTATTTTTCATAATTGTTAATATTGAATTCTATTTCCGTTTATATTCCCTGTTCATAAGTAAATGCTACCGTAATCCGATTTAATTCAGAACTTCGTGTCATTTGATTTTATCTGTATATTTATCTAAATCACGTCTGATTGAGCTCCGACCTGTCAAGCCATCGTCCGCAACCGCTTATTTTTGTTATTTTTTTTTGTTCAGGGTTATAACGACTCATAAGGGGGTGGGCTTTGAAATATTTTTATTTTCATTATTGTTAATAGCTTTCGTAAGCAATAGATGTATTAATTTTCAAAAATTTGGCTTATAATTGTGTCGACCTTTCCCTTTTTCTCTTTCAGCTTCGACAATTTTTTTTTAAACGTAAAAATAACGATTAAAGCCCGTTATTGTTACCCTCTTATGTGTATAGTCTTACATCAACGAGACCCCTGGAGTTTTTCCGTCATCTCCACTAGAAGCTACCTGTGTTGTGGAGCAAACCACATTAATAAAACTGGCGCTCGAGTACTTCCGAGTCCTAGGGTGTCACTAGTAAGGGTAATATTTTCTTAGAGGCAAGAAAACATCTTGCCTAACTAATGTGTGAAGAGTAAAATAAATACTAACATTTTAGGATTAAGTATGAAAATGGAAAAAAGTGAAAAGGGAATAATAAAAAAATATGAAAAAATCAATAAAAAAGTAATATAATAATGGAAAACACTAATAAAAAATACTAACTACTAACTTGAATTGTGGATTTGTAATTGTTTGTTAAAAAACTAAATCAGTCTAGCTAATTGGCAATGGATATAGTTTAAATAAAAAAAATATAGTTTTGGTACCTAAAATTAGTTCATAACTGTGCATAAATGGCCCGTTACTTGTGGTTACTTATTACCTGTGTCTGAGTGACCAACGACCCCTGGAATTTTTCATCTCCATCTGTGCTGCCCGAGTACTTTCGACGCCGTTTCGAAAGTTTGTGGAGTAAACTACACATAAAATCTGGCGCCCGAGAGCCGTCCCGTCAACAGGCGTCATTTGTAAGTAATCGTTTTCTCTGAGGCGAGAAAACCCCTTACAAATTTGGGGTAGATACTTACGGTTATCTAGTTCAGTTAAAGGTTAAGGGTTAAACAATTTAATTATTAATCTGATTGAATTTATTCTGTTTTCTATAAAGCAAGTTATGATTATAATTATGGGCGTTTACAAATTTGTTTAGTGGTAGCAATTTATCTGTAACAGTAATTTTTTCTTTT